CCTTCCACATGAAGCTATCTTCAAGACCGCTTTGTATATGTGAGTATCTGTATGCCCATTGTGTGTCAGAATTCATGCTTTTAAATGTAGGCTATAAAAGCATAGATAATAATTGGCTGGAAGATCAAGACAATCACAGCACAGTTTTCACATGAAGCCTTAGTGGCCCATTGGTGCTTTAGAAAGAACAGAAACTTACCGCCACTGCCACATGATGCTTCCATAGGTTTTTTACTGACCTGAAAAACATTCAGATTACTAAATTATGGTAGTTCTCTAATGAACTGAATACTAACCAAGGATAAAATTTCAAAGGTAACAACTTCTGAACTTGGAGGAATTTGTTTTTAGACTACAACTCTCAGAATCCTCCATTACAGTCATGATTCTGCATGAACATTCTTACAGGTTTTGCTGCCCAATCTTAGGATGCATCTATACTGTAGAATTAATGCACTTTGACACCACTTTAATTGCCATAGATTAATGCAAGTGAATTGTGGAAGTTGTAGCAGTTGGAGTATGTAATGTAGTGTCAAACCGCATTAATTCTACAGCATAGATGCATCCTTAGAGAGTCTTTTCTGTAGGGTCTTTTCAGTCTCCCAGTGGCGGAAATAATGAGACAGGTGAAACTTCAGCACCTTTGCTCCACCCTTGTCTGGCACAGAGCAAGCAAAGAAGGAAGCACAGCCAGGATTGCAGCACCATCTGGAAACTCCAACCAGTTTTTCAACTGAAGAGCTTATCATGTCAGGGCAATGGTGACACCCATAATCTCAGATCACTTGATAACATCCACAGGTTGGAGGTGGAGATATGATCTGGCACTTCAAAATGCTCACAACCTCTGATTTAGATTCTACAGAGCTGTCTCTGCTTATGATGATGATGATGATGATGATGATGATATAATAATAATAATAATAATAATAATAATAATAATAATAATAATAATAATAATATATTATAACCCACCTTGAGCCATGAGGAGAGGTGGGTTAGAAATAAAATAATAATAATAATAATTATTATTATTATTATTATTATTATTATTATAATTATTATTTTATTTCTAACCCACCTCTCCTCATGGCTCAAGGTGGGTTATAATATCGCTAAAAGCACACAATCATCTAAAACATTCTACAAAATACACATATCAAAATATATTTCTACAAAATATGTACTAAAATGCACAGAACAACGAAACGTAAGGCACAAGTTTAAAATGAGTGATTAAAACTGGCTGGGTAATGAATTCTGTCAAGATGTAAGCCGCTCTGAGTCCCCTCAGGGTGAGATAGAGCAGTATAGAAATAAATAAATAAATAGTCCTCCTGGAAGAGACAGGTCTTTAGGTGGTTTCAAAATTTTGACAGCTCAGTTAGTAAAATATTTATATTCCACCCTTTATCCAAAAATCTCAGGGCAGCTTACAATAAAACCAATTTGATGACTTTTAAAATCATATAATCGTTCCTTACCCAACTCCACATAGTGCATTGAGATCTCTGGCAATCCGAGGGTACTGGGAAAGAAACACAGTTATGTTTATATCCCACATGAACTCAATACTCATAGGGGATAAAAAGGTAGACAGTATTGTCAGAACACACACAGTCTGCCTTGTTTCAGCATATTCATCTTTCCTGAGACTAGCTCACTTATGACCCTTCAGATGGCAATAGATTACAATTCTATAATCTTCAGCTTACTAGGGCTAATGTGAATTGCAGTGCAAACACATCTGGAGAGCCACATATTTACCACTGTCTGGCAAGCTTTATAACAGTGGTTTTCAACCTGTGGATCCCCAGATGTTTTGGCCTTCAACTCCCAGAAATCCTAACAGCTGGTAAACTGGCTGGGATTTCTGGGAGTTGGAGGTCAAAACACCTGGGGACCCACAAGTTGAGAACCACTACTCTATAATATCATTCTGTTTGACAAGCTCTGTATGATCCCAATCCACATAATTTTCCATTTAAATTAAACAAGTGAGCCAAATACTCACCACAGGTTTTAGGATGAATGCCAAAATCCTCTTTATTACAATAGGAATGCTGTAACAATTAACTTGGGATTTCAAATTTGGATCAACAATGTCTCCTTTGCTGCGAGGTGAAAAGAAGAAGAAACATGGTCTATTTTTTAAAATAAGGTATTTCCAACCCTCCCCACTCCCGGAGGGGTTAGTCAGGTAATAACTATGTTGGATAAATTCAAAGTAGAAAATAATCAGTAGCAACATGAAAAGCATGACTTGTGTGTAGCCCTCCAACCATTTTTGCAGTCCCTGGAGTTCCCATCCTCTTGATTCTAATAGACCATGTGGTATTCATTGTTCTAAAATTCAGTGTAAACTAAATTAAAATTACAGCCTTAAGTTTGGTTTAGCTCATTTCTAATGAGACTAAAATGATAATAAATTATTTGACAATACACTGATATCCCAAGTGCTATCATGAGCATCAGACTTTGCTTATAGGAAACGATAACCACAGAACTAGTGAGCTGCATTCATGTCCACATACCAAGCAGTCTACTTACAACCTTTCCAGTAGATTGGCAGCTCCATCAGAAAAGAGGCCTCTGGTGAAAAGTTCATCAACTACATAGTTCAGGCGAGGAGGCACAAAGGGGATGAGCTGTGTGAAAAAAAGCCACAGTTTTGATTTGCAAATAAGCAAAATGATACAAGTTGCATATAAAATTCTACTCAATTCCATAAGTATTGAGAGTGTTATCTGAAAGTTGAGGGGAGAGGGGGAGATTTAAAATAAATTATAAGGATGAAAAAACTTTTCAGGTTCTTTTTTGGTTTATTGACCACTGACCTATTCAAATATTTCAAGGATACACATTGAGCATCCCTTATCTGGAATTATGAAAGACAAAATACTCCAGAAATCGAAAATTGTCCATGCAAGTGGCTGAGGTAGTGACACTTTTACTTTCTGATGGTTCAATGTAGATAAACTTTGCTTCATGCACAAAATTATTTTAAAAATAGTCTATAAAATTATCTTTAGATTATGTGTATAGGATACATATGTAATGCAAATCAATTTCATGTGTAGACTTGGGTCTCATCTTCAAAATATGTACCTTTATAGAAATACTAGCATTTCAAAATCCCAGCTCCTAAAAAATAAGGGCTACTCAACCTGGACTTACAAGATTTTAAAATATAGAGCCAAAAATGTAAATTTCGAATACCACAAACAACTGCATAAAATTCTATTATACAAGGGCAATCACTGGAGAGCCAGGATAGGATGTAGCTAGTGCTGCACCATAGGAAGTGTAAAGGTGTGCTGTTTTTGTATGAAGTGATGATCCAAAGGAATTAAAAATAGTGGGGCTGTATACTTATGAAATTTCCCATACAGAAAGCCTCCACTATTTCTGTGTGGAAAATTATCCATACCCATCACATATATGTGATGTGATAAACCATGAATGCACTTATGTCAAAAGGCATTCATATTCATCACACATTACAATATACAGATATATATTTTTCTGCACAGCAATGATATCTTTGTAGAAGAGGCATGCCTTAATAGTATGTTGTGGTGGCTGAACTCTGCAAAACATTATAGCCCCAGAATTAACTAAATGTGTGCAGAATTCAGATCATACACAGAGACCAGTCCACACTTTATCTTAGCTTTGATAAATGTGTGGTGAAGGCAGCCAAATAGGCTACTTGTGTAAATTAAAAAATGTACTTTTTGGAAAATGTCCATGAGATTCTGCTAATGACATTTTACAGAAAACTTTGGGCAAATGAAAGTTTGCAAAGATTTCATGACATGCCCAAGATGGTTGGGACACAAGTATTAGATATGAACACCCAGCTCTGAGCAGAATTTGGGGAAATGTATTAAGAAACACACGGTATGTCCTGCTGTCTGAAGAAGTTGTTTTATTTCTCGAACAGCCCTCCGCATGCTGGGTGATGGCTGGAAATATCCATCATCTTCATAGTATCCAATGCGGAGAGGTTTTGAACTTGTATAAATCTGGAAAAGGAAGACAAAGAAACAGGAAGAGGAAGAGAAAACATCTGTAATTTACAGCTGTTCGGTGAAGCAATTACATAGTTTCTTGCTACTTTTATAAACTGTGTTATGGCTTGTTGCAATGAAATAATTTCTTCAGTATAAATCAAGTTTAGAATATGGCAGAATCAATAAAATGGCCTAAAAGCAGAGCCTGAATGGAAATATTTTTGTGCTGCAGTTACAAGAATCTCCCAGTCACTTTAGGACATAGTAATCCGAAAAAGTAACATTTCCAAAATCTTATGTAAGCTCTACCTATCTGGTTTGGTGAAATATTTACAAGAGGAATAAACAACAAGGCCTTCCTTTGACATATTGTCAAAATGTCAGTGATAAGCAAGCTGCTGAAGTTAGTATCCTTCAGCTGAACTAAGAAATTGATGGCTTTGGAAAAAAATTCCCAAGTAGCTGTATTATAATGCATACTGTTGAAAAATGAAAGCATCACTCATAATTGGCTATGGTGGAACTATCCATGGTACTGAACTTCTCATCCATTCTGTCCCACTTCACTAGCTGTTACCTCCTCTTTGAAAGGCATGGGTGGTACTGTGGGGTCCAGGCGAAATAACTCATCACACAAGAGAGCCTTCATGCACAGAGCCAGGCTGTCCACATCCCTTGCCATTGGGCCAATTGTAGCAGTAACTGCAAAGGAAATAAAGACCTCAAATGGGAACATGAAGTGGTAAGTGATTTATGGACTGATTTACTACTTCGTGTGTATGTGTGCCTTCAGGATACCTGTCAACCTATGGTGACTCCTAGATGTCCATAAGGTTCTCTTAGCCAAGGAATACTCAGAAGTGGTTTTGGCAGTTCTATTCACTGAAATATAGTCTACAGTGAAATACAGTTTACAACAGTCTCCCATCCAAACACTAGCCAAAGCTGACTTTGTTTAGTTTCCAAGTTCAGGCAGGATCTGGTACCTTTAGGCATTTAAGCTGTTATGATTTACTACTACAATCACTAAAGAAGATGGTAGTGGCTACCCAAATGTTAGGGTCAACGGCGGCTTGGGAAAACTGCAACTAGTTAATAGCAGGCAAGGGAGATAATAGTCCAACTTACTATGAGTCAGCATCTTATCTTCCTAAACCTTTACTCATATGGATTCAACATGAATAGTAACAAGTATGTGGCTGCAACTGTAACACATGCATATTGAGAGGGATATAGCAGCAAACCCTATCATAAGGCCAGAGTTTGCGTGCAATTTTACTGTATCATCTATCATGTCATTCAGCTAAGAAATGAAAACCAACTATAACACAATATCTAGAAGCTTCTAACTCAAGCACTAACCAGTTTATAAAATCTTGGAAGCTTTTAGCATGTAATAGCAGCATGTTTCCTAGAGCCATCCTCTGGACTTTCTTGCTCACATGCCAAGGCTGGATCTACACTACCAAATAATGCAATGCATAGTGATATAATGCAATTCAATGTGGTTTAGACTTCATTATGTGTGTCTACACTGACCATATAATGCAGTTCAAACTGCATTATTTGTCAGTGTAGATTCACCAAAGTGTGCTCTCCAGACTGTTGTCTCCACTCCTCCTCAACTGGCTTGGTGTCATACTCCTGCAACATATGAATGGGTACATATTATCTATCACTTCTTGAAATAAGCCATTCCCATATTTAAATAAAAACAATGTCATTAAGAAGGCACAATTGTTTGCAAACATAAAGGGATTCCTCCAATATGTGAACAATATTTGATGCAATTATAGGCTACTAAATAATCTGCTTGCACATCAGTTAGATTAGCAGGAATTAGTGCCAAGGTCTTCTAAGTAGATGCTACATTATGGAACTCCCTTCCAAAGGATATGCCATTGGTTCCTAAGAAGAAGCACTTTATAAGGCTTTGAAAATCCATACATCTGAAATGACTTTTAGAGGATCATTTTTGTTGGTCATAATGCTGTTTTATTGCAACATTGTTGTGATAACTCTGAGAAATATTTCTTAACAGCAGTTGCAATATTTTAAAGCAATTTTGTTCTTATTTTTTGAATTTTAAAGTTTTGTTGCAATATTACATTGTTTTTTTCTTTCTTGTCCATTTCACACATTTGAATTTACATGGATTACTTACCTGACTTCATGCCTCCTATGGGGGAAGCAAGACCAAGAGTACTGGGAAAGATGAAAAAAAGACAAAAATAAGTATTTAGCAAAACACAATGACTGGCCCCTTGTTAGTATGTTTTTGTTTATTGTTGTGTGTCCTCAAGTCATTTCTGACTTAGGGCAAGTTTAAGGCAAAACAACTATAGAATTTTCTTGTCAAAATTTCTTCAGAAGGGGGATTCAATTGCTCTTGTATGAGGATAAGAAGCACACATGTTTAAGGTCATCCAACGGGTTCCCATAACCAAGTAGGCATTTAAACACCTGTCACCCAGAATCCTAGTTTAGCACTAAACCATTACAGCATGCTTGCTGAAAGTTAGAGTACATCTATACTGCTGAATGAATGTAGTTTGACACCACTTGAACTTCCATGGCTCAGTGTCATGGAATCTTGGGAGCTGCAGTTTGATGAGGTAGCCGCAGCCTCTGGCAGAGAAGACCTTGTAAAAATACAACTGCCATGATTCCCTAGCATTGAGTCATGGCAGTTTAAGTGCTGTCAAAGTGCATTAATTCTACATTTTAAATGTAATACTTAGTCTATGTTAGATTTAGGATTCCATAACTACTTTGTATTCTCCTTTGCAATCATGGGCACTAGTGCCATAATAGCAAATGATCATGAGAGCCATCTTAAGAACCAGCCAGTGGTCTGGAGTGACAGAGGTCTATGTTGTTACAGGGACCAACCACAACTCTGATTGGTTTTAAAAGTAGATTTCAGGGTTTGGATGAAAAGAAAAAAGTGTAGCTGCAATGTCATGGCTACATTGGAACGCCCTACCTGTGGACATCAGACAGGCCCCTTCACTGCTGGCATTCTGGAGGAAAGTCAAGACTTGGCTTTACGAACAAGCGTTTGGCTAAATAATGCAATGAAATACAGTAATACGGTACAATTGATCACAGGAATTGGTATAAGGATTATGATTACGGATTCTGATTCTGATTTGTTTGCTGAGGCATATATTTTGTCCTAATGTTTTGTATAATGTGTTTTAACTGCCTTCGTGTTGTTGTTGTGTTGACCTTTACTATGTAAACCGCCTTGAGTCGCCATTTCGGCTGAGAAAGGCGGTATAGAAGTAAAGCAAATAAATAAATAAATAAATAAATACATGTTTAATGACAGAATAAAATGACAAAATAAAATAAAAAAGCAAGCACCTGGACAGGTTAACCTCAAGTTTAATGAAATTCATCAGTGAAAGTTACAAATCTAAAAGTTGGCATTCCATGTAGAATTGTTGTTAATTTTAAATGAATGTTACTAATTTAGTTTGAGAATCAGATCTGTAGTCAGATACAGTTCAGGTGCAGGTTTGAAGACAAGGCTTATTGACCATTTTAAAGGAAGTTGCAAAATAAGTTGTTGAACATCTTAGATCCACTATAGCAAAGATAGAACTATGGATATGAAAAACAAGAATGAATAAATTTTGCTGTAAGTGTAATGATGAGATGAAGTGCACATTATAATTTCTATCAAAGATTACTATTGTTCCATTTGTGGATCCAAGAGTCTCTTTTTCCATCAGAGCAAATCAAGCGCTAGTCCAGGCTAATATTTAAAAAACACAAATTCCATCAGTATTCAGTTGTTTGGTTACCTGTCAGTCTAAAGAAGATTCCAGGACCTACCTCAACCGGAAGCCTGTAGGCTTTAGTCCACAAATCCCACAGAAGCTGGATGGCAGGCGGATGCTTCCAGCAACATCTGTCCCAAAACCCAAGATTGACCCTCCTCCAGCAATAAGTGCTCCTTCCCCTCCAGAGGAACCACCAGGACTTTTTTTGTGATTGTGAGGATTTACTGTCGGACCAAAAATTAAGTTGCTGCAGTCATAGCTGTGTGAAATTAAAGATGGATTTGTCATTAGCATTCAGTTTTAACAATATGTCTTAGGCCAGTAGTTCCTAAAGTTGGAACCCCAGCCAAAAAAAAAAAAAAGAGTTCTGGAAATTATCTACAAAAGTAAACTTTCGAAACCCTAGGCTTGGACTAACCTTAACCAAAGCCCTGATTATTGGCTAGTAGTTTTGTTCATAGCAGTCTAAGAACATTTAGAGATCCAAGATTGATTATGCTTTTATGTTAAGCCACTTTGAGTCCCCTTCGGTGAAGATAAAGCAATGTTTAGAGGAGGAGGAGGAGGAGGAGGAGGAGGAGGAGGAGGAGGAGGAGGAGGAGGAGGAGGAGGAGGAGGAGGAGGAGGAGGAGGAGGAGGAGGAGGAGGAGGAGGAGGAGGAGACGATGATGGTGATGATGGTGATGAACAAGCCATGTGATCATAGGAGAAGATTAGTAGGACAAACAAGTTGAATCCAGAGAAACATAAAAGAACAATAGTAGCAGAAAAGTAAAACAAGCAATCCATCTATGCCTAGAGTCAAGATAGGTTCAACAAGTGAAAAATAAAATGGTACCTCCTGCATTTCACATGCAAAGGCATAAATCACGTACAGAGACCCAAAATTTGCTTGAGCTATAGTGATGTGAGAGCATCACCCATCATACCTGAGGACTGCAAATATTTGTTTGTAATTTGTCAGTCCCTGTCATGCCTCCCTTCTTTTCTAAATTGCATCTGAGAGTGAGATCTTGATTATGAATATGAACTAATCCTTATAATATACTTGAAAAGAGTACAAAGAAAAAATAGTAATAAAAAGAGAACTGAAGGTTACTTTATCATGCTCTGAGGAATGTTGGTTTTCACAAATGGAATTGCCCCTTGCTTCTTCAAAACCTTCACTATCACACTGTCCTCCTTCTCGACTTTGTTGAGAAACTGCACCAAACCTCCGGTAGAGATGTGACCCTTTAGAAGAAGAAAAACACCGTTGGTTTACTACGATAGGATTGATTAATTTCATATTGTTTCCCCATCTAAGAACTAATAAATTACGCTTCATTAGTAAAATACAAATAACTGTTTGAAACAAAACATTGCAACTGAACAATCTGTAACTAAATGTAATTGGCACTATAACTGTAACAAATTATTTTTAAAAACATTACTTTCCTAGTTCTGGTGGTATAAGCATTCATACGCAAAGCAACCTGCCTAATACATATTGTGCCCTTCAAAACTTCAATCCAGTTCTCAAAACTTCCTAGGTGGTAAGATTTGAGTCTTGTGTTCAACTGAAGCTGTTAAAAACACCTTGATTAACTCTTTGTTAGCAAAATGTCTGACATACAGCTAGTCCATTGCAAGAAATACAGTCAGTACTCCACATCTACTGGAATTTGGGGCACAAGACTGCCACAACAGTAAAAAAATATTAAGAAAACTCTTAAAAACTGAGAGAATTCCTCTCTAGGTTCTTCAGCATGACTCAGTAGTCAACTTCCAAAGATTCACACCTAGAGATGCCTAGAGAGAATATTTGATCATATCTAGAAATAATCAAATTTGAACACGTCAAACCCACAAACATGTAAAGATGACCCTGTTTAAGCATTTAAAGCATTTAAGGGTAAACAGGAGAGCACCTTGCATCCAATGTGGTCCTTAATGCTGACAGGAACCCCATACAACAAGCCTTTGTCTTTCTGTTTCTTCAGTTCCCTGAGTTGTTCCTCACAGCCATGAATGAAATCTGTCACACAGTTCACATCTCGGGTTACTTCAAGAGCCTAGTCACAAAGGCAGTGCCATCCAAGAGAAAAGAGGAAGAAATGGAAATAAGATCAGTTGGAGAGAGCATGGAAGATTATGTAATTATGTGATGGGATATAATCCAAAATATTACTGTCCCACATTCTGAAACAGCTATAAAATTATGGTTTCTCCTAGGCCTAACAAACTTGAACAGTTCCATATCTTGCCTTTAAGGGTTGTGCTAAAGCATACTTTAAAGTCATAGTCATACCATGTTCTACATTGTTCAGTGAAAACTATCATCCTATTACCAGTTCCACTACATTTCTAGTTATTTCAATACATTCCTTAACCTGCTCCTATCTGGCACAGCATGAGTTCAGCAGAATGTGGATTGTATGGGAAGCATTTCACTTGTGTTTGCATGATTTTTCCTATGCCATTAATTTGTACTGCAAATTAAATGTGATTAGATTTAAATCACATTTAATTTGCAGTACAACTGAGGACGCTTCCAGACAAGGCCGAAAATGCGGGGCCCATCAGGCTTTTACCAGAAGTGTTCAAACAATGCCTTAGGTAAAAGCAAATTAATTTGATATGCCATTAGATCAAGGCCTTCCTGAAAGGCCCAGGTGTAATTGTGTATGGGGCCTGTGGGAGCAGACCCACAGGACTTCTTCCACAGTCCCGGGGTCAGTCTCCACAGCCCATCACAGTTTTTCAGGCTTCTAAAAGCCTGGAGAACTGAGGGCATCCACCCCCTTCCTGAAAGTCCTTAAAATAAAATTAAAGCTTAACAGGCTGCCATTCCGCCTCTCCAGCAGGCATCCTGGAGCAAAAAATAATGTTCCAGGAAGTGGGTGGGCAGGAGGGACTTTCCTCCCCCCCCCCCCCCACCTCCTGGTGTGTCATTTCTACATGCCAGGAAGCCTGCCAGAGAGAAGGCATGGTGACCTGGTAAGTTTTTATTTTATTTTAAGTGCTTGGGAGGGGGGGGGGGTGGCCCCATGGCAACTCAGTAGTTCCCCAGGTTTTTGATCAGGTATGGGGACTTTAAACCCATGACAAAGTGGATTTCTTAAACCCACTTCGTTGTGGGTTTAAACCCTGTCTAGAAGCACCCTGGGCTATCTATCATGGCATCTGTTATTCCCTTTCTCACATGTTCCAGGTAGCAACTATGTGAGTTAGCTTAGGTGCTGTGACTATTTGGGGGCAGGGCTCAGAATCTTGGATAGTACCTTTGAAGCTCAGACTAATAATTTGATTGTGGCTTTCCTGCATAGCAGGGGGTGGCACATGTGGTCTCTTCCAACTCTATGGGCACTTTCACACAGCCCTATATCCCAAGATATCAAGGCAGAAAATCCCACATTATCTAAGTGTGGACTCAGATAACCCAGTTCAAAGAAGATTTTGTGGGATTTTTAACCTTGATATTGTGGGATATAGGACTGTGTGGAAGGGACCTTTGATTCTATGACTAAAACCCACAACAAATTCACCACTCTAGTGATATGGAAGGCCTTTAATGAACTCCTTGCCCAGATATTGTGTGATGTCTACAAAAAGTTTTTCGACATAACTTACTGAACTTTTATCTCTGCATAGCTGGCCTTCGGATGATATCACATACCTGCTGTTGGATGTTTTTACAGCTGCGTCCCTGAAGTAAATGTCATTCCCTGTTATTCCCATGTGTCACGTTCTTGTACAAGTGATGGTACAAATGATGCATCATGTGCATCAAACAGTAGGTCTCTTGACCTGTTGTCTGCTTTAAATAAAATGGCTATGTGTGCATCTTGCTGTGTGTCATTGGGTGGAGAACTTAACTACTAAAGAATGCAGATTTTATTAAAGGAAAAGCTTTTTCTTGTAGCAACTTATCTTTGCATGAGCACAGAGAAAATGAAATATCGCCACAGCAGAAGAGCAACACTGAAGAAAAATGTGTGCATTGAATGCTTGGAACATTTCGTGGGCAAAAGGTGTAAATTATCTGGCAAGTAACTTAAAGTGAACAAAGATTTTGCAGGCAACTTCTGGTTGAAGCTGAAACAGTAGTCTCTCACCTTCTTTATATAGGTATACAAGACACTCTCTGGGGAAAGAGACTCCTCTCTGAGTTTTGCTGCCAATTCCACCAGTGACAGAGAAAGGATGAATTCAGACTGGACTCCTGGATTCTGTATGGAAAAGCAAGGAAAAGACATCTGCAGGCACTGAAATCAACCCTGGTTTATAAAAGTGAGCTGGCCCACAAGCTCAGTATTTTAAAACCAATGCCCATCAAACTCTTCTAAATCAATGGATCCTGTGAGTTAAATAGCTATTACTCATGCTCCCCAATTGCATAGCTAGATAACACTAGGCAAAACACATTTTGGTGTGTTAGCTCTGTTTTTATTTTTTAGTATATTTGACCTGCTGCTTCCAAAAATGATACCAGTTTCCCCCTATCAACTCAAGTTTTTGAGATGTCATATATCCGTTTTCACAATCTCGCCCATAGAAAACCATGATAAATACATGAAAACAACACTGTCAATTTAAGATAGGGCTCCAAATTTTGGATAGTATCTATAAAATCTAGAACAAATTCAGTATCCTGATGTCATGGAAGCACTTAGTCCAATGGCCCCCAACGTTTTGTCCTACTAGTGCCTTGGATCGTAACTCCCAGAATTTCCAGCCAAGTTGTTCAACAGAAATTCTAGAAGTGATTTTTCTAGCAGGGTAAATGGTGAGCAGATGTTTCATTTTCAAAGAGACACATAGGACTTCATCAGACAGACAAAATTGCCCGTCCGACACTTTGACTTCTCTTCAGGCACGGAGCCTGCAGGATCCCATCACATGACATCTTGCTACTTCACACGAGGCTACGTGCCTGAAAAGAGATACAAGTGGTTCAGGAGGCAGCGCCAGAAACACAAGAAGCTTCCTGTGTTGCATAGAAAACAATTGAGGGAAGCCGGGTGGCAACACTTCCCCCTAGAATAAGGTGAGAGCGATGTTGGGCAATGGGTTCCCCACGCCCTACACTGCCCCCATGCTTGATTCACCACAATCCATGGTGAATTCCTCGCTATCACCCAGATCAGGGACCTCAATGTGATGAGGTCCATAGACAGAACTTATTGATACTGTCACATAAACAACTTTTCTGCTGTTATAAGGATTTCTAAAATCTCTGTTTTGCTCAAATGATCTTGTATGCTTGAATGACTAGAATTCTCAAGCAAGGTTAGGTTAGTCAAACTAGTTACACATTAAACTATTCCCCTGGGGATCATGGATAGGCCCTTTCCCACAGATCTGTTACTTCTCTCTTGTTGCTGTTGTGTGCCTTCAAGTAATTTCCAGCATATGGTGATTCTTAGGTGAATCTCTTATGAGGTTGTCTTGATAAAATAAATCAAACTGGAGGGTTATCTTTGCCTTCCTGTGAGACGTAGTGCTCAAACGACGACACTATGCTGGCTCTCTACGAACTGCACTAGATAATATTTTACATGTTAGAGTGTTATGATTCCACTTTAAGAGTAATAATTACACCCTATTGTATCATGGGTTTTGTATTACTTTAAGAGTAATAATGACATCCTATAGAATCATTAACCAAACTTAATGAATAAGGATAACCAAACCCTTGCTCAAGTGCCTAAACTCAGCTTTCACTGTCCACTGGGGAGGGCTCATGGAGGGAAAGACTGTGGCCCCTTCTACACTGCCAGATAAAATCCAAATTATCTGCTTTGAACTGGATTATATGGCAGTGTACACTCATACAATCCAGTTCAAAACAGATAGTGTGGATTATCTGATTTCATAATCTGGATTATATGACAACATAGAAGAGGCCAAAAGGCAGCTTTACACTATACAGTTATACCACCCTGATACCACTTTCATTGCTGCATCCTTGGGACCATGGGATTTATAGTTTGGTGAGGCACTAGAGAGAACTCTAAATACTCCTTCCTACCTTCCTAAATTTCAAATCCCAGGATTCTATAGGATGTTACCGTGGTGGCTGAAGTGAAATATAGCATAATTGAATAGTGTATGGACTCCAGATGTTTCAATGAACAATATCCTGTCCAGAGACAAGTCCCTAAAAATAGATGGCAAAGACAGGGAGACAACACATGGCTGTGTTCCAGATTGCTCTAAGAATGTATAAGGATGAGATTCTGGAATATAGAGTCAAAACAATGGGATATGTAATGCTATCTTTCACTGTGCTGAGTGGTCATAACTGTTTACTTGGCTTTGTTTTCCATTATAACATTTCCATTTTCTTTAATAGCGATAAAGAAACACAAAGACTGTTCTCTCTACCTCCCCCCATGCAATTTATTGATCTTTGGGAGACCACAACTTCCTGTGTTCCTAGAAGCATATAACTTAAAATTCTTGTTGTTCTTGTGTACTATCAAGTCATTTCTTATTTATGGCAACCCTATCATGGGGTTTTCTTGGCAGATTTTGTTGGTGGAGGAGGGATTTGCCCTTGCTTTCCTGTGAAGCTGAGCGTGTGACTTGCCCAAGATCATCCAGTAGGTTTCCTTGGTCAAATAGGGTTCTGAACCCTGGTTTTCCAGTAGCCTCCTCCAGCACTCAAACCCCTCTCACACCCTGGCTCTCCAGCTTAAAAATCATTTATTGCCAAAAGAGGTTACTTGCGGGAAAGCCCTCCATAACTACCAAAGAAAATGTTACCTTCTGTTTCATCTTCCAAATGACTTTTTCCATTAGATCCAGGCTGTTGTCTCTCCATTGCCTGGCCTCTTCCATCTTCCTCTGGATCCTTCTGCGTGACATCCATTTCCACAACAGGATTGCAGTGGCAGAGCCACAGGTCACAGCAAGGGCTGCCTGAAGGTTTATGACATCCCTGGGCAAGATCCCCTCCAGCATCTTCTCGACCATGGCAAAATTCCTGTCTGCCTTCCCAGTGTAGCTTTCTCAGAAGGCAGCCCAGAAAGTGGGGAGGAGATGCTTCCTGGGACTATTTAGCCTTAGCTACTGAGCAACTTCAAAACTCAAGAGACCTTCAAAATTCATGACTAAACTCCTCCTGAGGGGGCCTCACAATCTGACCTTTAATCTGTTAGACAGTCACCTGATTAGAAGCCTCTAGTGAATGTCTTCTGAAGAATTTGCACAACTCCCAACCCTAGCATGACAAACACAATACATGCATGCCACTGCTACACAATCTTTGCTGGTTTTAGCAACAAACTATTAATTTTAGTGTGTTTTGTGTGTTTTAATATGTATTTTATAGAAATACGTTTTAATGTGTTATTTGTGGTATTTTTTACAATGATACAACTGTCCTTGCAGTTGTATTGCACAAGCATCTGCCTCACTGCTTCAATTGGAAATGTCCACTATGCTTGGCTACTGGTTGTTGTTTGATGAATTAAGTTTTTAATTATATTTTTATGATGTTTGTGTATATGTATTTTATTGTGTTATATTTTAACTCTGTTGACTGGGCTTGGCCCCCATGTTAGCTATCCCAAGTCCCTTCGGAGAAATGGTGGCAGGATACAAAAATAAAATTGTTGTTGTTACTATTATTATTAAATAAAATTATTATTAAATAAAATTATTAAATTATTATTAAATTATTATTATTAAATAAAATTATGATTATGGTTATGGAATTGCCTGAGAAAAATAACCCATGTAGTTCAAGACTGTAACTTGCAGACTTTAGGTTTGTGGATGTGACTGAGCATGTGGAAAGTGCCAACTGCGACCCTAACAAGCCCTTTTCAATGTAAACCAAGCTATTCCAATCTCAAACATGGGAAATTCTGACAGATCCCTTTAAAATAACCCTGTACTTAGGTATCACCACAAAAATATTTTTTCATAAGACCAATTACATATCTTGTAGCAATGTACCTATAAAATTAAATTTTATGGTGATTTAGTTTAAGAAACTTCTAATGTAAATGCAGTTGTCAAGAAGTCACTACTGCTGTTACAATGATAATGTGAATCACAAAGGGTTGTCAACATGTGTTTTTGTTGTTTTTACTAATTTTTATAATGGCTGATTTTGTTATTATTATTTTTTTTACATTTTAGCTCCAATATTATGTTCTGATGCAGTCCTGGAGGGTAACACCATGAGTTACCAAACTGGATGACACCAATTCTAGTGATGCTATTGGTTTAATCCCCTTTCAACTGGCTCATATATTAAAGTCTAAATCATTGAAACTGTAGTCAACATACCTTGAGGGCCAAAGGTTCCCTACCACTGCTTTAAACAAATAAGGACTGTAGACAAATGTTGTGATTTGATTTTAATAACGTAACTGCAGTGCAGACATTGGAAAAGGTGGGGGGTTTTTTTGGTTTGGACTAAAATTCTCAGAATCCCCTAGTCAATATTGCTACTAGTCATTCTAATATTTTCTGGTAGATAGATGTACTCTGAAAAAGTAACACTTCCAAGCTCTTCTGAATTCCAAATCAGGGAAGACATGTCTGGAGAAAGCTGGGAGTGAGGGCAGAAAAAGGGTAAGTTGGGAACATGTGTAGAGTTAAAACTGGTGGACATAATATGCTCTCTCCATCATGAACCTCTTAAGCCCCCCTTTGTTGTTTATTCATTCAGTCATTTCCAACTCTTCCTGACCTCATGGACCAGCCCCCTAGTTATGGAGAAATATGTGAAGACACTAGAGATTTAAAGCTAAGATGGGAAAAGCAAATATTTATACACAAGATAAAGACCTCCCTCATTGTACTTTTAAAAAAAAGAGGATTATAATTATCTTGGAGTGCAAATAAAACAGAGCAATACAACTGCATCGTCAAAACCAAAACCAAAACCAACATAAAGAAGTCATTGGAGCTTGAACAAAAGTGTCTGCAGAGGTAGAGGGAGGGAGACTTTGGATTCTTGTAACTGTGTCGGTTATTCATTTCCAAGCATAAACCTGTTTGCAGCATTTCAAAGGTTAATGTATTCTATGCCACCATGCAACTGATTCGTGCACTTTTGTCACTTTCAAGTGTGGGACAAAGGAAGTGGCCAAGGTTTCTACATTTGCTGGCTGTGATTCCCATGAACATCTTGGCTGTGCTCATCTCCATGGTGAATCAAGCCCTCCAATGCTTCCCATCAATACTTTTTTTCACCCCTTGATTTCTCTAGTAATAAAAAGCAGGTGTAGTTCGGTGACAGAAAAAGTAATCTGCCTCGAAAACGTCCCAGGAAAGAATCCTGTCTGAGAGGAGACATGATAGCCATGTATAAATATGTGAGAGGATGGCCATCTGTTGGGGGTGCTTTGAATGCGATTTTCCTGCCTCTTGGCAGGGGATTGGATTGGATGGCTACTGAGTCTCTTCCAACTCTATGATTCTATGAATCCCCAAAGAACTGTTGCCTGTTAATGTCAATGTTCTGGACGGCCTAATGTCTGGATGTGTTCTGTGGTTCTATATGTCTGCTGGGAATGTTGGATAGGGATACTTCTACAATATCAGCAGCTGCAATGACTGTACATTCTTTAATGAAACACTCGCAGGTACAATGGGACCAATGCAACACACTTTTTCCATGTTCATGGCAGTCCCATAAAGTAAAGCATGAGGCAGAAAAGCATTTCAGCATTGAATCAAAATTTGGTCTGATGAAAAAGTCTGTTATGGGTCTACTAAATCCAGAAGTCAGTTTCCCATTCTTCCATTTCTAGCAAGTTTACATTCAATGTGTTCTTCTTTTTTCTAAGGTCAGTTTTTCTATTTCCTTCATGAACCGAAGGCACAGTTCTTCCTGCCATGGCAAAGCCACGCACTGGACGGTCACAGGGAGCCCCACACCCCCTTGCACCGCCTGCAAGGATAAAACACAGGACAAGTAAGGATTTTGTGCTATACTTTTGATACAAAATGTCCAAGAAAAGTGGCTGACAGCCCTTACAAAGCACTAGATGACACAGGACGTACCTTGGCAAAGATTTTGTCCCACATATCGTTATAGTACCCTCTGAAGTTCTTCAGTTCCTCCTCATCTTCCTTTGTCACTGTTGTGACAGGAACCACTCCAGCAGGGAAATCCAAGTAGTTATACAACATAGTGTAAACGGCTGCCACTGGAATGACAAAACCCAATAGGTTACTAAGAGTTACTGATTCAGAAGAGCTGCCAAAGTAAACTTTTTTCCTGACAGCTTGCAATGTTTTTGTAATTACTGATATACTACTTTTGAGAAGGAAATGACTTTATAACCACAGTCTCCTCAAATTGCCATTACAAATACAAAAAATGTAATTTTCCACACCCCAGTTTATGGAAATACTGATAAGTGAAGTGCTTTAATTATGGTGTGATTTAAATTTGATTTGGTTATCTGCTTTGAACTGGATTATATGAGTCTCCCCTGCCATATAATCTGGGACAATCAGATAATCTGGGATAAGATTCTGGGATATAGTGCAGTGTAGAGGGGGCCACAGACAAACCTCTACATTTTTTGGTTTGGCCTTTGTAGATTTTTCACTGATTTGATTAAAATGTTCTCTCTAGTAATCTCCAGTGCAACTCTATGCCCAGTCTCTGCTTGATGTTGATCATGGAGGAACTAAATATTCCCAGGCCCCTTCTACCTTGTCATATAAAATCCAGATCATCTGCTTTGAACTGGATTATATGGCAGTGTAAACTCATATAATCCAGTTCAAAGAGATAATGTGGATTATCTGATTTGATAACCTGGATTATATGGCAGTGTAGAAAGGGCCCCAGTGAGGTGTTGTCTCGGGTAAAATAAAACACTGGACTTTTATTTTTCACTTTTGTGAAAGCCCTGTGCCCCTAACCTCAGCAAATATGGAGGGCAGACTATAGTCTGGATATATGATTCAAAGGCTGGTGCCAGTGGAGAGGGACGCCTCTAGGACTCCTGGAAAGGCAACATCTTCAAAACATTTCCAATCTCCCATAGGCAGAGGGGAATTCTTTTTTCCAACACAAAATTACTTAAAACATCTACTTGTGGAATACTGTTGCCTCCTAGGGGTCACTTTCTCCAAAACCAAATAGACAGAGCCTAAAGCCCAAGAAACCTCTAAGACCCAAAGACAAGAAAATCTTGAGACCCAAAGCACCTTTCTCCTGAAATGGCAACCTTACAATATAACTTAAAATTAATACCTAAACACAGCCATAACGTCTAGATTGCCCAATCCTGATCAACACAGAGCTAAAAAACATCTGATAGCATGGGGTACAATGTCACCAATATACAGATGACATGATTTTCCTTGTTTCCTTACATCACTAGAGTTATAAATATCTCATCTCAGGGTTTGAATTGGGAAAAATAATTTTAAAGGTGTAACACCAAAGAGTTAAACAAAGAAAACAGCTGAAATTATAATGTTCCCGATGCATTCTGACATCTTTGTTCTGAGAAACTAGTCTCTGAAATTTCCCCCAAAGAACTGTGTGGAACTGTTTCACTTCTGACTTAGCAGTCTAAAGATTTCCAGTGTCCTCTGGAAATCTGATTTCACACATAATGTCCAAGTACTTGAAATTTTGCCAGGGTATCCAATCTTGTAAGCAGGAGACAGTGCGGGGCAAAGCAACACATCCAGCTGTAGTTTCTTCCACTCTGCAATAAATTTGTAGCAGTATTCCTAAGTAAGGAAGAATGGGAAAAGATAGCAAGATTTCAGTATTCATGTCTTAATTACACTGTTCCTTGACTAAACAATATACTATGCATGCAAGTGCCCTCATTCTATTATTGCAAAATTCACAGGATAAGCTGTCTACTGATATATAGAATGAATATCATATTATTCTGGTACTGGGCTAGTTGCCAGCTGCTTTTTGGGTTCAATTCAATATGCTGGATTTAATATTTAAAGTCCTAAAAAGCACGAGACCTGGC